TGTGTAGTCGGCCAGCTTGGTATCTGTTGCCATGCCACATGATCTATCAGCCGATGGCTAGAATTAGGAGATTACTGAACTGTCAGGAATGTGTGTGTGTTTCGCACCCTAGCCCTGCTTGCACTGTAACGCCGCACCAGGCTGTGCTGACTAACGTCAATTCTAAACCCTAGCATACCGTTTCCTGGAACGTGCTACTTGCACTGGCAATACTTGCCCCCGAGTGCGCGGCGCTCTCTCTTCTCGCTCTCATCTTACTCGCTTTCTCTCTCTCTCTCTTCTCGCTATTCTCTCTCTTTCTGTCATTTGCTCTCTCCATCTCTCTCTCAACTGCTTTTCTCTCTCGTCTTCTCTCTCTCGTCTCTCTCTCTCTCTCTCTCGTCTCTGCTCTCTCCTCTCTTCTCTCTCTCTCTCTCTCTCTCTCTCGTCTCTCCTCTCTCTGCTCTCTATCTCTCTCCCTCTCTCTCTTCTCTTGCTCTCCTCTCGTCTCTCTGCTCGCCATCGTCTCTCGCTTCTCTCTCTCTCTCTCTCTTTCTCGTCTTCTCTCCTCTCTTTCTCTCTCTCTTCTCTCTCTCTTCTCTCTCTCTCGCTCTCTCTCTTCGCGCTCTCTGCTCTGCCTCGCGCTCGCGCTTCTCCTCTCTCTCTGCTCTCTCTCTCTCTCGTTCTGTCTTTCTTTCTCTTTCTCCCGCTTCCTCTCTTCTCTTGCTCTCTCCGTCTCTCTCTTCCTCGCTCTCTCCTCTCTCTTTTCATCCCTCTCTCTCTCTCTCTCTCTCTCGCTCTTTCTCCCTCTCTCTCTCTCTCTCCCTTCCTCTCCTCTCTCTACCTCCCTCCCTCTCTCCCTTCCTCTCCTCTTCCTCCGCCTCTCTCTCTCTTCTCTCTTCTGTCTCGCGCGCGATGTGCAGGTATGTAATTCTTGGTACCTGAGGTAAGAAGGCTAGAAGCCAGCTGCCGTTTAGCGGCGTTTCAACCCTTATGGAGTGGCAGTTCAGCTTATCGGACGTGAGAATCGCGGCATTCCAGCCTCTGTTCGTGCTGTACACGTGACCCAGCGGTAGCGCTGCGGACAGCTAAGAACAGTTCAGTAAGAACGTGGCGCAAATATGGGGGCTGGAAGTGCGCTGTAGTGTAGCTAAGTACTCGAACGGGAAAAATTGGATCTTTTCTTTTCGTGCAGCTTTGCATGTTGGGCGTGAGTCTGCCATGAAAAACGCCTGGCCACAATTAAAAAAAATCGTTTGTTTGCCTTCACCCGACCCAGCTGAAAAGTTTTGGTTACGCGGTTAGGTAAGGCTTCTTTCTTTCTTTGATGGTTTTTTTTTTCTTACAAATTCAGCATCGGTGACGGCGGCGGGAATGTGCTGTTTGTGTGGAGATACCTTTTGTTCGATGCTTTTTTTGCTTGTACATATTATAATGTATTGTCCCTACAGATTTAATATAATTGATACCCAGTAAGCAGTGATACAAATTCGCTAAAAACAAAAAATAAGAATGCGGCGAAAGATCAATAAATTTTTTTTACGTCGGCTTTTTTTGGCGCCGTTCGGCGGGTCGAGGGCAAACAAACAATCTTTTTATATTGGCCTTGGGAGGAGAGTCATGGGTGACGTGATTTTTTAGCAAAATGAATGCTATCATGAAATTTTGCAAGAACCTGTCTCGGTGCTAACTTTTCTATACTGTACTTGTACTGTAAAATAATCAACTATTTAAGTGGTTTTTTTTTTATCCTCTACTCATGTTAATCACATGAGCGATTTGTACGCGAAGGGGGGGAGCATTGCATTCAGTGCAAGCTGTCATTAGCACTAACAACAATGCTAAATTCATAAATTATTCTGTGAGCCATTTTTCGCCGTCACCGAACTGTTTCCTGAATTACATTTTCGTCCAACATTTGGACCTGAATTTAGAATTCCCCTGGCATGCCATTCTTTTTTTTTACGACAGAAGATTTAGCCTAGCACGGCAGACGAGAGAGAGCGAGAGAGAGAGACAGACAGAGTGAGAGAGAGAGAGAGAGAGATAGAGAGGCATGACGTGACATTTTCTTGTACATTTTTAATCAAAATCGAATCTTGAGAAAAATCGGATCTCGATTGCCAAATTGCATCCTGCCTTGCACAGTGCGGCCCACGTGTAGCAAATTGCATGTATTCCCGTAGATAGATTGCCCGTGAGATTTCTCTGCAGTCAACCCCCCAGCCCCTTCCCCCTGCCCCGCACAGTATCGAATATCTTCCATTAAGGGGCTTTTCGACATTACCGCTCGATGTATGCGTCCAGGTAAGATTGCGAGCCGTGCGGGACTTGTCGTGAGTCTCAAGGCGGTCCCCCCGAAGTTTTTTGTCCCGATTTATTCGCAGCCGGTCAGCGACGCGAGTGTGTAAGCGACCACAGGCACTTGCGAACGTCTCCATAAAATAACATTAACGCGTAAATAAAGACGAAATGTACAAAGTCTTAATGTTTCCTCTACTCTATTCGCCTACTAATCACCAGTGTAATATGCAGTCAAATGCCTCATCTGCCAACAACGCAAGCTACCACTGCCACGCCCGCGCTGCTGGCACAAACACAAGGAAAGAAGAGCACAGGAACATGAATATAGACAACATGTTGGTTTGCTGCCACAGCCGCGCGGCGTTGCGGTGCTACTTGCGTGTGCCAGATGAGCATTTGACTGCGCCATTTAAACAGTGTGACTGATGTATAGCCCGAATTAGAGATAGGTTAGAAACATGTAAGACTTTGCGTTACATTTCGTGTTTATTTAATTACCTATTAATTATTTTTATTGAGACGTTCCAAGTGCCTGTGGTAGCGACGACTCGCACGCTCTCTCG